CATTTTCATAATTAAACTACAAGTATTCACCTCAGCACCTCCGCTCTGCATTTGGGTCCTCCAAACCTCAACCAAACCCTGACAGGCATACTTCCTACTCTGGCTGAGTTGGAAGGATGTTGAAAGAAATAAAAAGCCTCACAACTGTTCAAAATGTGGATAAAATGTCAGTTAAAGGAAAGTGTAGAAGTTGCTTTGGAAACTAATCATTTGTAAGAACAAAAGAAAGACATAAAAAAAAACTTAAACTAGTTGCAAAAGAAATACAAGTCAATCAAATCAAAGTTTATCAAAATCCAATCGCTACACCGTCACAGAGGTTAACATGTAAAACAAAAATGGATTAGCCACTTTGACCCCTTTTTAACAAGGATCAACTTTAGAGTTCTTTTTAAACTTCTTAATGACTCTGAAACTACAGATAACAAGAAACACACTTACTCCCAATGGTGGATGATTTTCCCATCACAGATTAAATGTTTTCAAATTAAATTCTAGATTTGATATTATTTTAAAAGTGCATTTATGGTATCCTAGATAAGGATTTATAGGTAAAATTTATCTGTGTCAAAAGTAACATAGAATTTCTAGGATGAAAGTTAAATTTTTAAATTCATAATGAAATTAAAATTTTATGGAGGTTTAACGGGTGTCATGATTAAAAATCTGCCTCTAAATCAATTACAGAATACTGCTGTGATCCTTAGGTCATCAAGAAGTTGTTGTGGATGTGAATGGCTGTAAGCAGAAAGGATGGAGTTGACTGTCTTACACAAAAACAGCACAAGATTTGCTAAGAGACAATCTTGTTTTAAAGATGCAGGAGTGATTGGAATTTCTATAGGATTAGCCCAAGGAATAATTTTCTCTTGTAGAACAGATGACTGTTGAAATGCTATTATTGGACTAGAGAATGATGCATGATTAAAATCACCAGTTACTGTCACAAGTGAATTATGCCTGCTGCCTAATATAAGCTACTATAGGCTGAAAACATATGCATTGTCAGTAACAGTAGATAGTAGAATGTAAACCATGGCCAAAGTAACACTGAAATTCTGGTAAATAATATGGACATAATCTTATTGCTAAAGGTTCAATATCTGGGCTCTAATGACATAACTTCCCAGTACATATCCTATATGAGATCTCTTATTGCTACATACACTGTCAACACTAATCTATTGCTTTTGTTTGCCTTCTTTATTCTTTATTCTTTATTAAATCTAAGTTTGCTCATATAGTCAGAAAGCTAAACAGAGCAATGCTGGAGCTGGGAATATGATCTTGTTGCCATTTTATAGTGAAAGATGTAATACTTCCTCCTTGATAATTTGTCAATTTGTTTGTAAAATAATTTATGCATTGTTTGTGCATTCCCTCTCTCTCATCTAAGACTCAGGGATTTAGTTGAACTATTATTTCAGCTTTTAAGGTATTAATAAGCAGCTCCTGGTTGTAAAAAAAAAAAAAAAAAAAAAATTCCATGATTATGCATTATAACCACAACAAACAAGAACCAGAAACAAACTTTGATACACAAACAGATGTGATCAAATCCTTTTAAAGGCGTCATAACCTGGTATTTTACAAATGCAGTCATCCTGAAATGGTATTTAAATTCTTATTAAATTGTTTTAAACTAAGTAGATCTCATTCTAACCCCTTGTCATTGTCCTTTTTTCTAGCAATGGTACGTAGGAGAAGTTGACTTTTGCTATGTACTTTAGGTCACTTGCAATCCGTAGAGTTGAAGTTAGTCACTCGAATGTGTCTGATGGTTAGCCATCTTGTGGCGGGCAGTTTAGTTTAAGATCCAAAGATATTTTTATGAACCAGTTTTGGCGGGGTCCGACATATTGTGGATCCTGGCCTGTTGGTAGTCACTACCTAACCTGACCTGTCCCATCAGCTCTTTTGTGCATGCGCAACCAGATATACATCTGGGTCACCCTCTAATTTTACTGTGTAAAAAAGACCTAAATTAAGTTTTTCCCTCCCTAAAAATAGTAAGCATACTACACTATAATGTGTTAAAGGTTAATTATGTACGTATATCATGAGAAAATAATTGTATTAAAATCCTTTCTGTTTTATTACTCGTCTGTGCCCGTTCTTTACAGGAAATATGATTCTACGCTACTTCCGGGAATTCCAAAACAGTTAAAAAACAATCCACTGGACTTTGTTTTTCAAGTTTGAAGACATTTCGCTTCCCATCCAGGAAGCTTTTTCAATTCAAAATGTCAGAATTCTGCTACGTTCAGACTGCTCGCAATAGAGGCAGCAGAAGCAGCTAGTTTACATGCAAAGTCTATGGTGACGCGCATTAAGGAGCATCAAAGGGTCCTGCAGTGCGTTTCAAGCAGCGCCTCATGAGCTTTGATTGCATTTGAGTACTGTCAAACCACCTCCTCTGTGACAGCACAAACCAGCCTAGAGTGAATGAACAGGACGAGATTAAATGGGAGAGAGAAACAAAGACCAGGCTAATTAGCAGATTGGGAGCAGGTGTGAACAGAGGCCAGAAGGGAGCTAGGGAAAAGGAGGCTGACACACAGGGGCAAACAGGAAATATCGAAGAACTCCAATGCAACCAAACATACCTAGAACACAAGAATGAAAAATAGGACCAATGAAAACTCAGAGATAAAACTAGAACAAAACCAAAACCATGGAACAGGTCAAGTTACTTTGTATGCAGTTTAATGGAGTGGGAACAACCAAATAGTTTTTTCTAGTAACAAATCATGTTCTACTAAGTGAAAAGCAGCCCTTAAATCTAGAAAAAGACTAAAGCAATAATTATTTTATTGTCAACAATGGTTAGCCACTGGTCACTTGACATCTCTGTCAATTTCATTGATAATAAAATCAATGAGAAAGTAACCATGATACAAAACACCAATGAGATTTCACCAACCACTGGAGAACAATAATGATCATTTCCAAAGCCTAAAGTCATATTAAGTTTTCTCTCAGCAGCAGGCTTTGCAAAGAGGCCCCAAAACTAAGCTAACTAAAACTAGTTACTCCAGGCACAATTTTCTCATTATCATTTACCATCAAAATCATGTCTTTTCTTTGTTACTTCCAGTATCTTAGGCAGGCATCCCCAAACTCGGTCCTCAAGGCCCCCTGTCCTGCAGGTTTTAGAGGTTTCTCTGCTTCAGCACAGCTGGTTATAATGATTGCAGTAGACCAAAAGCCTGTTAATCAGCTTTCAATTAAAATCAGCTGTGCTGGAGCAAGGAAACCTCTAAAACCTGCAGGACAGGGGGCCTTGAGGACCGAGTTTGGGGATGCCTGTTTAGAGGATATTGTACCAATTGTCAATCCTACTACATGAGAGTTATATGGTGGATTATGGATCGTTCTGTGTTATGTGTTATTGTCTAGTTCTTCAAAAGAGTTGAATGGTCCAAGCATGCATCCGACCAGCCATGAAAGTTTCTGAAATTAATGTAGTTTAAAAAAATCATACATGCCGCTTTGGTAATTGATTATCATTTACCTCTAAGTGCCAAATTCCTCAAATATACTGTACTTATCAATGAAGATAAATAAATTGAATTACTATGTGAGGGTCATTGATAGTAAAATTTATTAAATAGTTTGAAATGGATGTAAGTTGGGATGAGATGGCATTTCTTGGAGGCTAAATAGGATGTTGGTTACTTTTCTGGGAAGTCCTTTTTAACTTATAGAGCAAATGTAGCTATAAACAATTCAGCGAAGAGAGTAAATTCTAAAGAGCCCTTCTATATAAAGTAGAATTAAGACCTCATAACCCATGGATGACAGAAGTTTTGCAGCATGCAAAAAATATATTAGAAGGGACATATCTGTTTTTCTCTTTAACATTCAAAGACAATGAAAAGGTCTAATATTTTATTAAGTATTGTTTGTCTTTTGTGTATCACTTTGTGTATTCACGCAAGTTCCTAGAGGATTATTAATTATTTTGAATGTTTACTCATTGTTTATATTTGTTTGTATGAATACTATTTTACTGTTTGTCTGACCAAAAGAACAGATTGTAAAAAGGTTTTCTTTAAAATAATACATCTCAGAAGGTATTCCCACAATCAAAAACCTAGCTGCAGTGAAAAACTACCAGAGGACACCTTCGTGTCGCCCAGTCCCATCCATTCAGTGCTCTTTTGTTCCACCTGTCACTGTGGATTAAGATTTTCTTGTAGGGTTTGGCTAAAATAAGCTTATCTCAGCCAAAGACCTATTGATGGACAAAAGCCCATTAAACCAGTGAAAAGAAAGCCATTATTCTACGTCATCACATCTGAGATCTCCATTCTTCAATCTAGCTCTCTTCAAGCAAAAATAACATTGTTTGACAAATCACAAAAATAAACTTACAAGAAAATCAAAGCCCTAAAAGTAGTTGCCCTAATAAATAAATAAAAGGACTCAGACATTTGGGTTTTATTCAACTATCGAAAGAATCTTAGACTTATTCAGAGTTTGTTGGAGGTTCTAAAAAAAAGGGAAAGATTAATATTAAACTCTTTTAGAAAATGTATTCTGGAGTCCCTTCCCTCTCCTTTGTCCAGGCTAAATAGATCATGACTAAAGTCTTGGAGTATTTTAGTTACGGAGGATTTAGCAATTTGAATACTTTGAGTTTGTCAATACTGAATATTATGGTTTTGTTATACCTACGTACATAAAAAAGAATAGCCCATAAAAGGCCTTCTCATAATCCTATGCTGGTTTATGCTAAGGGATACAAGAAATGAGGAACATCTGCCAGTTTTGAAAAAAATCATATCTTTATTCATAATAGTTATCTGTCTATTCATGAGATATAAATTTGGTTGTTAAATCCTAATAAAGCACTTTGTATCGACGAGAAGAAGGATGCAGACAAACACCAAGGCACTGTCATGAAAAACGTTACCAGACACAATAGACTGATGCACAAAACAATGGAACATTGCTGTTCGGAGCAGTTTTCATTCCTGAAAAAGGAGTCATCATACCTGCTGATGTACCACGCTATGTTCTTCATGGCTGTGATGAGCTGAACTGCAGAAAACTCCCAGCACTTCTTTAGAGATCGGATACAATCCTTCATAGTCTGCAGTGAAGAATGACGCCATCTTTAATCACAACAGAGTCCATCTGTCGATGGTTGTTCCCTTTCTATCTGCTCTGTCTCTGTTCCAGTCCCTCTGTTCCAGCGTTTCGTTTGTTGTGGGGGGGGGGGGGGGGGGGGGGGGGGGGGTTCTAATTTTCCATCCAACATCAAACCAGCATATCGACACGCTCATGGGCCGCCCAGCAGGGGGGCAGCTTGAACATGTTGGACTGGCTGTTGTCCTTTTTGTCTAGTTGCAGATTAAGGCAGCACATTTATCTAAAAAAAAAAAATCGAAGAAAAAAGAACAAAGGGAAAAATCTGTTTTTTCGTCATTAATTTCAGTAAGGGTGGTCTAAAAAACTTCAAAATGAGTTTCATTGAATGTCCTGAGATTACATGGTCTTAAGAATTTCTTTTTCTGTTTCTATTTGATTTTTGTCTTTATACAGATTGGATTTTTAGGTATTTTTAACTGAAAGCACAGCTGCACTGTAACCAAAATGATGATGATTTGGACCTTTGTCCAACATGAATAACAATCATTTGTTCGTCTGTTGATCTTACTTTAGTGTTGAAGTCTATGAATGAAAAAAAGTCAACTTAAATCAAACTAATATGGCACAAAAACAATTAAATGACTCCAATTGAAGCATTTAAATTGAGATATTCTTTTTGTTTCTCTTAATATGTTTTATGTCTGAAAACCTAGACACACAACAGCAAATAATAAGATAAAGAAATGTTTGTAAATCACAGATTAAAGGATCCTGTAGCCCTTTCCTTGGTCTTATATTGTGATGCATCCTGTGGCTTGTTCCTGTGGCCTGCCTTGATTGGGTGTACCACTGTTTGCTGCCAAGCAGTGTTGCTCAGGGTTGGGCGACTTTACTTTATATCAAAGCCTGAGTTGTAGGAATTTTGGAAGGATGCAAGGACCAGATGCCTGTCAGCATAATCAATTTGTAGTTATGGTCAACAAGCATGAGAAACAGCAACTAATTAGTAAAGATAACAACTAGTTCCAATTTTAAAATGAAAAAATACAAATGCATTACAATTGACCAGAATTTGCAACATTTCTTGAAACACCAAAAATGTATATGTCATAGTTTATATGTTTAAAATTGTTAAAAATGTCTTGAAAGAGATCATGAAAACAGCTTGTTTAAATTGATTACTGCCGTAAAAAGAAGAGAGAAGGGCAACAAGGATTTTTTGTAAAGAGGGGGAGCAAAAAAAATATTCTTTTTGTATTGTAGCTTCATCAGCTGCTTACCTTTCAACTAAATTTCACACTTAGGTGTCGAGTTGTGACCAGGGTCAGGACTGCTCCTTACAATAACCAATTTTTCTCTGCAAGCTGTTTCAGCAAAGACCATGTGGTGTCTGGTGATGTCAATCACATTCATAAATGTTTTATTCACATAAAAAAAAACATACAAAAATATCCGGAATCATAACTTGATAAGGGGAAAAAACTTTTTAAGAATAATTTGCACACATCTACTTGGTTATTAGTTGATGCTATGACTTTTTTCTTATGCCGATGGACACAAATATTGAGTTTTTCTAACCAAATACATTTTCCAGAGTTATGTAGTGGGAACTGAGTTGTCATAATATCTTGTTTTGCTTTTATCAGAGGAAATGTGATGTACATGACATTACAGAGGTTCCTCAGAAACATTAAATACAAAATATTTTTATTATTTTCAAATGGAATTAAGTTGTGCTTGCAAAGTGGTATGTAAAGTGAAGAAGATGGATTATATATAATTTGATAAACCTTTTATAAATACAGATCTGAAAACTGGCCCATGCCTATGCCCTTTTGATAAATTAAATCCAGGATTATGCCTTTAAAACCATATATATGTCATTGCCGCATTTAATTTCCCTTTGTGATTAATAAAGTATTTTCGAATTTAATTAAATTTATTTGAATTTAGAAATCACTATATTAGAGCATATTCTATACATACTAGGACTTCAGTGGAAAAGATGTCTATGACTTTAGGGAAGCTGAAGACATTTAGAACTTTCACAACTGCTACTCATGTACTCCAATAACATTTTTTTTGGCAAAGGAGGCAAACAGAAAACTACAAAGACAAAATCTGTTGGGTTAGTTAAAAGAAAGCCATGTAAATTGGTGGCATACTATTGGATTATAATTATGTTTTGTAACTCCGTCATGTAAAACCAACATATCTTATACTTGTCATAAGAATGTTGATATGTAATGTTGAAAAATTTTGAAACTTTGTAATCAAATTATATTTCTTTTATACATTTCTCCTACACTATCCATCTTCTACTGCCTTTCAATGAGGATCACAGCAGATTGGTGCCTTTCTTCAGCCTTTGGGTAAAAGGTAGGATACACCTAGACAGGTTGCCATCCACCACAAGGCAACACTGAGACACACAACCATGCACACATTTACACACAAGGGCAAATTAGGCCTTGTTAACACGACAGGCCTTAATGCTCAATGCTTTTTTTGTGAAATCTGATTGTTTTGCATGCTTGTTCATATATCCAAACATATGCGACTTGTATGTGATCTCCTGTGGGAACTACATTCATACAGCTTAACTGCCCGTATACACAGGATGCAATGCCCTCACAAATAGCGAGCATTCGCTGTGTTTACAGAAGTAGATGGATGGTAGTGCTGGAGCACAACTAGAGAACTTTATTTTCTTTTCCAAATGGAGCCAGCGCATTAACAACACAGTCTTTTCAAGAAGATCAAAAAGAAAGACTGCTCTCCAAATTATCGTCTGCCATGGTTGTTTTTCTATCGGTTTCTGTGTTGCAAGATGCAGGTTAGCGGTCTTTGTTGAGTGTTAATAATCTTTTGGTTGGATGAATACAACCTGGGCGTTCAGAAACAGATTGCATTTGAAAAGATCAAATAGTGAGTTAGGACCACACAGCCAACTGACATTTGAAAACATCTGATTTGTGTTTCTCAGACTGTCATGATATGCTATGGGCAAAAAAAATTGATTTAGGTCACTTCAGGCTTCAGTCTGATTGTAACCTTAGAGATGCCAATAAACCTAAACTAACTATGTGTTTGGACTGTGGGAGGAACCCATTGTAACTGAAGACTGAAGAGAAAAAAAAATGGAGAACCTAGCCTAGGAATAAAACATGTGACCTTCTTCTTGTAAAGTAGTGCTTAAATACATGCCATGCAGCACTTTGTTTTATCCTGACATTACTGGACTATCCAAGTACAGTAGTTGGTAAACTTGTTGGTTTACAGTCATGATTGAAGCATGTCAAATTCACAGAAAAGGATTTACAAACAATAGAACAGTGTTCCCTAGGAAGCTGAGAAGTGTTACAACAAAAGGCTTTCCCAAAGGTGCTCTATCTGGTTGAGGTCAAGGCTCCGTGATGACCAGTCATGTTAATCCGCACCAGACTGCCATCCATGTCTTTTATGGATCTTTATTTTTTGCACGTGTGCACAGTCATGTTTGAAAAGGAAGCAACCTGTTTAAAACTGTTTTCACAAAGTTGGGAGAATGGACTATTCTAAAAAATATGGTATGCTGAAGGAATTAGAGTTCCTGTCTCTGAAACTAAGGGGCCAATCCCAGTTCAAGAAAAGTAATCCCAGATCATAATCACTCCTGAGAACATGTCTCCACTTCTCTGGAATGCAGTGGCGGCATGCTTTACACCCCTGCATCCAACACTTTGCATAGCCCTTGGAGATGTATGGCTTGGATGCAGCAGCTCAACCTTGGAAACGTTTTCCTTTGAGCTCTCTTCTTACTGTTCTTGAACTAATCTGAAGGCCAGATAAAGTTTGTTGATTTGTACAGACTGACACTGCAGAAAGTTGGATATCTCTTTCCAATATGACTTCAGCATTTGCTTTAGTTCAGCTTCTGTATAAGAGTGCCCAGATACCCTACGGAAAAACTTAATTTCGTCTGCTTGTATCCAAGTTCTTTTGGTCATGATCCAGATTTCATGACCATAGGTGAGGGTAGTAGCATAGACTAACTGATAAATCAAGAGACTGACATTTTCACCCAGCTCTCTCTTTACCATGCCATACCGGTGCAGTGTCTGCATGAAAGAAGCAGCCACACCAATCTCTCCATTCTCCCATCACTCGTGACAATGACCCCAAGATAATTAATCTCTTCCATTGAAGGCAGGAGCTCTCCTTCAACCTGAAAAGCACAAGCCACCTTTTTCTGGTTGAGAACCATCTGAAGGTGCTAATTCTCATATTGGCTGCTTCAAACTCGGCTGCAAACTGCCCATGCTGTAAGGTCTTGGCAGGAGGGAGCCAGCAGAACCACGTCATCTGCAAAAACCAGGAATGAGATTCTCTGGTCCCCAAACCAGACTCCTCCGACCCTTGAAGTCCTGTCCATAAAGGTTATGAAAAGGACCGGTGACAGAGGGCAGTCCTGTTAGAGTCCAATTTGTACGCGGATCAAGTCAGACTTAATGCCAGCAATGCGGACCAAACGCCTGCTCTGAGGGACACAGTCTAAGGCCTTCTCAAGGTCCACAAAACAAATGTGGACAAAGGCAAACTTCCGTGCACCTATGAGAGCACTTCAGAATGTAGAACTGGTCCACTGTTCCATGCCAGGGTGAAAGCCATACTGTTCCTCCTGATGCCAAGGTTCGGCAGTCAGCGGGACGCTCCACTGAAGGACCCCCGTCATAGGCCTTCCCGAGGAAGCTCAGAAGTCTCATCCCCCTATTGTTGGAACCCACCCTCCTGCCCCCTTCTAATGAAGGGAACCATCACCCTGGTCTGCTAGGGGCACCTGCCCAGACGTCTAAACAATGTTGAAGAGGCGTGTCAGTGACAACAGCACAACATCCAAATCTCTAAGGTAGTCAGGGCGAACTTCATCCTCCCCTAAAACCTTGCCACCGTGGATATCTTTGACCATGTTAGTGACTTCACCCTGGGTGATGAACGAACCCAGCCTCAATCTTGTTGATGCAAGAGAGCGAAATCGGTACTAAAGATAGTATTACCATTTTCCTTGTTTCTATTGACATATAAGTGGCATTGCATCTAATAGATAAGTT